TTGAAGCTGGATTTTTATTTATTTCTGCCAGCAAAGAGTGGTAAACTAGATCTTCCGCATAAATGGCATTATTTCCTGACGTTTCAGTATCACCGTTCTTAAAAATTAGGTATTTTGTTAATTCTTCCCCGAGAGCTAAGCCCGCAAAGCTGACGTCCTTTACACGACTTTCTTGGACCAAGTTGGCCTCCATTGTTTCTATCAGTCTTTTCGGCCTTCCTCTTTTCCGTTGTACCACCGGGGGCGCTTCCTCCGATGACACTGTCTCTTCTCTTTCCTTTTCAAATTTTAAAAACCACTCGTCTAATTTAATATTTACAGTCACATTTTCCCAGTTTTTGGTTGAATTTTTACCAAAAACTTCTCCATACACAAAACGCTCGTTAAATCTGACGTCCCGACTTTCATAAAACTTTCCTTCGTCCGGACAAAGCAGACGATACCCTGTCGGCGTGTATCCTACCATAACTGCTTGTTTCCCTTTTGCATGGAATTTAGTTTCAGTGTTTCTCTGAACTCTCAAATACGCGATGCAGCCGAATCTTTCCATCTGACTTAGGTCTATCCTTTTATTCGGAGCCAGCTTCATTAAAGGGATTTTCATGTTATTTGAGCGATGCGGAGTACGATTATACGCAAATACAGCTGCGTTTAGTGCCAAGTCCCACATGTTTTCCGGGAGTCCCTAATCACATATAAGAGCTCGGACTTTCATTTGAATTGTTTTTTTCAGCCTTTCTGACGTGCCATTATGTTCAGGGGTATCCGGACAACTCAGTTGGAGTTCAGCTCCAAGGTCATTTAATATTTTTTGCACGGAGCCTCCCGTGTACTCGGTACCCTGATCAGACCTCAGATAACACACTTTAGCTTCAAACCCGAGAAGATTTCTACAGCCTTTAACAAAATTATCTAAACATTCACCCGTATCACTTTTGTTTTTCATCGGGTAAGCAATTGCAAATTTGGAATAATCATCAATAAATACCGAAATAAATCTGTATCTTTTTGGGTAAGAGGGTGGATTAATAATTCCCATTGTATCTGAATGAATTATTTGCAGAGGTTGGGATGCTCGTTCGCGTACCGAAGGGAAAGGCAGTTTTTGGGATTTAGTTCTTAAACACACATCACAAGTCTTAATCACATCATCAAATACGGCTTCTTTCAGACTTTTTACTTCCGGATAGTTTTTCTGCAGTTCCCTTAGATACCC